GATTCCAAACAGCGGGAGCCTCCCGAGAGCCTGGCGGCACGCGTGTGTGTATCCAAGGAAAGCTTCGCTGGCTGAGCTTGGCGCCTTGACGTTGAGCACGTGGGCTGCTTCGGCTTCGATACTTGGCATAGCAAGGTTTCAAGGGGTGCGGGAACCAGGGATGGGCTCTGGGGACGCGGCTCGCTCAGAGTCTCGACGGGCTCCAAAGGCATCACAAGCAGGTTTGATCCCCTTTGCCAAGTGCTGAGAGGGGCTTCCATTTCATTTTCAAACACCATCAACATCAAGGATGCAGTATGCAACAAGCATGTGCTCTTGTCAAGTTCAAGCAAAGCATGATGCTGCATGTTTTTTGACTTGTCGCGACTCCCCTGCAGCTTAGTTAGCCCCGCTGCGAAAGAACTAAGAAGACTCCAAAAAGGAGGGGTCTAACGAAGCCACACTTCCATCCCCATCAAGTCGGAAGCAGGCTTCCCCTAGCATCTCAGAAAGCCTTCTGCAAGAGTCTACTGGCTGGGCCCCTGCAGTCGGAGAATTCACGAATGCCTTGACCTGCAGATCTGCAGTTTGATCGTTTTCTTGAAATGACTTGGGACTTGGGACGCGACAGCGTTCATCACCTTGAGGGCGAAGAGCCGCTTTCGAACTTCCAAGAACTTAGGGGCTGTTCAAGAGCCAGCCCACGAAGTGTAAGCTGAGGACCGGGCAACTCTGTTCCAAGCGGCTTCTTCTTCCAAAGTGTCGGGACTATCCTGCGAAACAGAAATGTTTGTTGGTTTTGAAACCCATGTGTTGCAACAGCGGCCTGCTTTTTCCTGCCTCCAAAGTCTCGCTGGGACAAGAGGAGGGCGTTCTGGTTTCCTGGGCGCAACATGTTCAGCATCCATTGGATAAAATGATTGCTTGGAATAAGAGAATGGCTTCTTGAGTAGAGAGACCGGTCCTTGACAGAGCATGAGCTGGTTCAGACAAATGCGCAAGTTTACAACTATGAATGCAGACGCGGTGCTCTGGCGAGGAGAGCTCCAACAAAAACGCATCCTAAGAAACGCACATGTCGAGCGAACCTTTGCCGCGATGGCTAACAGAAACACGATTGACTCTTTCAGGGGGCGACCAATCGACGAAGTTGCCCACGGGCCTGAGAGGTTTTCCCCTCCACCGAAAAAACTTGTTCCAATCCCTTGAATTGAGAGCCCAGCCAAACGGCGCTTTGGGGTCGAGCATGCGCGGGCTGGCGATCGAGATCTGGATACCTGACAGAAGAGTTGCCGCATAAAAAAAAACCTTTGGGGGAAACTGCCTGGCGCGACATGGTGTGCTCAGTGGAAGGCTAGATGACCCACGGGTTTGACCCTCTCAAATCTGCCAGGCAGAGGCTCCTTGGTCAGCGCTTTTCACTTTAAAAAAAACCTGCAAACAAACACACATGGTCAATGTTGCCCAGTTCTCGGCGACGGCCTGCTTGTAGATCAAATCAATCGATTGGTGTGGCACTTCCTGGGCAACTTTCGAAAGTGAAAAGCCCCCAGTCTTGTCACTGGGCCCCCTGCCAAGGAGTGACGCCGTGACGCGGTGCAACAGCAAAAAGCGCCTCCGGGTGCGGGTGGCCATAAGGGAAAAATGCGAGGTTTTGTCCAGGCCTGGAGAACATTAAGTTCCATTTTGGATCTCCATGGCTGGCTGACTGTTTGCCAAAACGGCCACTTGCCGAGCGATGTTGCCCCGTCCCTCGTGGGTCGAAACAAGGTTCGAACTTTTTGGTGGGAGGCACCCGTCCATGTATGCATGTACACATATATATATATATATATTATACATATATGCATTAACATGCGTACATATAGTGTCAGTTACGGGGGTCGTTTGGCTCAACCAGGACAGTGCAGCAGCTGCAGTAGCTGACAAAACTATTATTGTGTCATTTTTCCAGATGGCGCGGCCACTTGCAGCCACTTGCAGCAGCCATAGTAGCTGGCAAAACTACTCCTTGTGCTATTGTCATTTGTCACTCGCTCGCCGCCGCGCACTTGGACCACGCAAACAAAACGGCAGACACTTGCAGTTGCAGTAGCTGGCAAAACTATTTTGTGTCCTTGATTGGCATTTGGCTCTCGCTTGCCGCTCAGCGCTGGCACATTTAAACCACCAAAAACCAAACCCCGGGATGCAAACTAAGCCCCCGGTCCACAGGAACATAGAATATATGCATTTCAACAGTAACGTTAGACACCATCGATGATAGTTATCATCGCAGGCCTCACCCTTATCATCACCATCATCATGGTTGCTTGCGTACTGACGCCAGGCGCGACTGCGGCTCATGGGGGAGTGGAGAGCGGGGCTGAGAGCTGCTTTTTCTTTACGAGATAGAAGGGCATCGTGTGGCAAGAAAACGTGTCTAGCATTACCAGCATCGCCCGGGCGGGTCTATTGGTAATGCAGAGGATGCTGCGGCTCATGGAGGGGTGGAGAGCGGGGCTGAGAGCCTGTTCTTATTCTTATATGCGTTTCAAAAGTAACGTTAGACCCCATTGGCAATGCAGAGGATGCTACGATGATAGTTATCATCACAGTCCTCGTCCTTATCATCACTATCATCATGGTCATCATCATCTCTTGTTAGCCGGCACTGATGATGCCGAGGATGCTACGATGATATATATCATCACAGCCCTCATCTTTGTCATCGTAATCATCATGGTCATCATCGTCTCTTAGTAGCCGGCACTGGTGATGCCGAGGATGCTACGATGATAGTTATCATCACAGTCCTCATCCTTGTCATCATTATCATCACGGTCATCATCATCTCTTGTTAGTCATCGTAGCATCCTCTGCATTACCAAAGCTGCGGATGACTGTTATGATAACTATCATCGTAGCATCCGCTGCATTACTAAGGGCGCCTAACGCCAGTTTTGAAAGGGGTCTGATGCTTTGGATGCGTCATGATGATTATCAGCCGATTTGATGTCAACATCATCGGTTTCTGCAGCATCCTTTTCATAATCGTAGTCAATTCCATCGTATCATCACAGTCATCGTCCTCGTCACCATCGTCATCAATGTCATCATCATGATAATAATCAACCTCATCATCATAATCATCATCATCATAATCATGGTGGCCATAAGCGTTGTGAGGGCCACCGTGAGCGCCGTGGAGGCCGCCCGGCTTGCCTTCTTTTTTTTTGGGGGGGGGGTCTCATAAACATTTCCAAAGGAACGTTAGACAGCATTGGCGATGCACAGAATGCTGCGCTGATAGTTATCCTCACAGTCATCATCATCAGCATCCTCATCATCCTGGTCAACATCATCTCTCATTAGGCAGCCTTGGCGATGCAGAGGATGCTGCGATGCCACACGCACGCGCGGCCAGAACGCCGGCCTGGCTTTAGTCTCGCAAACAGGATGTCAGACGAACACGCGGCCAGAACGCGCGGCCAGGCTTTAGTCCTCAGCGTGGATTTCTCTGGCACCAGCACCTTTATTGCGCATCGCTGCCACGAGACGCCACACCTCCGCAAGGATTTTCTTCTTTCGCTTGGCGCGCGTTCTTCCAAGTCGCATCTTGCTCCTGCACGCAATGTTCTGTAGGTCTTGCTCCGTGGCGCACACGTCGCACGTTTGCTTGCCGTGCCCCTTGGCCCCATGGCTTCGTCGTGTGTACCTCGCGAAGCATGCCTGCGGTCGCGCGACCCCGCAGTGCGCGCACTTCCAGAAGCCTCGTTGCCTTTGACTGCACACCTTGCATTTTTGCCTCTCCGCCTGTTTCGTGCGCCAAGCTGCTGCGCTATATTTGGCTTCTTCTTTTTTTTCTTTGCAGTTGTAGCAGGTTTTTGTTTCTTTGCAGTTTGAGCACACACGCAGGAGTGCAGTGCGGGGTTTGTGCCATTTCGCGTGGAAGGCACTCGTGGGCAGCCAACACATGCACTGGCGACATTGCCAGGGATGACCGGCCTGCTCGTGCCTGCCAATGCATTCCTTACAGACGCAGCGCGTATCCTCGCGCTTCCACTGCCCCGCCGTGTAACCACGTGGCTCCTTGCGTTCCCGGCACTCGCTGCACGGCTTCTCGATGATGTACTCTTGTCACGTCGTCTTCGCGTTGGTAAAGGCGCCAGAGCAAAGGGGCGAAATATGAGCAGGCGTTCTCGCCCTTCCACGCGCGTCACGGCGACGTAGCAAGTCAAGGGATCGTCGCCAGGTTGTATCGCGATGTCGGCAACGGCTCCTTCACGCATGGTTAGGCCTTGCGCTGCATGAGCGGTGATCGCAAAGTACGGACACAGCGGGAGCTGTCTCCGCGAAACCTTGAGCTTCGGGTATTTTCGACGATGATCTAAGTGCCAGGCGCTGCGAACCGGCGCCACTGGAAGGATGCAGTCGTCTCCCATGCCCTTCACGCGCCACTTTCGCTTGGTTTTGAATTGCACGTGCACTGCCGTAGGCAATTTCGTCCAGAAGCGGACTTCTCCATCTTGTTCGCTGGGCTCGGCGTTCGGGCTGTCGTGCGTCCAGCCGCAAACTCGTCCGGAACATCCACGCAACACGCCCCTCTCTCGATCCAAGTGGTCTGTGGCAGCTACGGGCATGCCGATGCACAGTGGCAAGGTGCCGTAGACACTGTTTTTTGTGGCTCCAAAACCACAACTAAATCCAGGGGTTGGCGGCAATGGGCGGCAGCCCTTAAATATGCCTCGACAGTCGCATGCGGAGTTCTCCGAAAAAGTCCAACATGTCAATGTCGTTGCGTTAAGTAGACCTAGCTCAAGAGACTACTGTTGGGCTAAGCACCGACGTTTGTCTACGCAGAAGGGCTAATGGTTTGGCAATGCTCAGGCAGTCGAGTATGAGCTCCACATACTGCAAAGATTCAAAATCATACATGTCAGCGAACTGTGCTTTCAGAGGCTACTGTGAAGATCAATGACAGAAAGTGTGCAGCTTCAGCAGACTCTAGAAAACAGCGCATTGCCAACGCTGGTGCACTCCTGCTTCGCTTGCAGTAGGCTCTGCGCACTCTCCAGGATGTGTTCCTGTCATGCACCAATGACATACCATTGCCAGAACTGCCCTATCTGCCATAGTCTGGTTTGATTACGACATCTATGCCATGGCCAAACAGTTTCCTTCCCCAGACAGTGCACACAATGTCTCGCCTGTTCTTGATACAAACATGTTCCAAAAGGTCCGGTTCGAGGTCAAAACGAGCTACCAAGGACAGCATAAGCATGACATTGCCGCTCAAAAGTTGCTTTGATTCAAGCGTGCACTCCTTCCTCTGAAATATCACACATTGGGTCAAATAGTGATATGCAAGTTCTATTAACTTGCCCATCCCAAAGGGATCACATCCTTCATGTTCCCCTAATCGAAAGTTTCCCTAATCATTTCAATGCATCTTACATGGCCCAAAGTAGGGCAAGCCCACAAATGCGTCTGACCGTGGACAGGGCACAAGTGCCAGCAGTGACATGCCGAAGCCTGCACAAGGTCCGGCAAAGGCGCCAAGGATTTCCTGACGGGAGACTCCGCGCACATGAGTGTGCATTTCTTGGTCAGGTTGGCCTAAAAACTAAAGGAGAAAACATAAGCAAACCACACAAAAAGGGGTCCCTCTGTGACCCACAGATCGAAAAGGCACTCAACGGCTTGCCGAGAATCTGAATCCTATATTTGTATCTTTACCGGTGTGAAGAATTCAAGATCACCTTGTCGCACTGCACGAAAGCTCCCATGCCCCTTCATAGGGAGTACCTTGCACCCTAGGTGCTGCGATCAAGGACCATCACGGTGGCTGACCCAAAGAATAGGCCGTAACCAACATGCACCTAAATCATCTGCCTCCCCCCCCCCAGCACTGCAATACACTCAAATAGACAAGAACAGGTGACATGGTCCACCCGGCACTACACTTCTGCCCGAAACATCATCACTCCCGTGCCACAGTCCTTTTAAGCAGGTAGAAGTCAGCGCTCATGGAGCTGACCTCAATGTGGCATCCCGATCTTCCACACCAGAGCCTTCAGGACAGCCCCCATTCCAACGTAGCTGACGCATGATTTGGGGAGGCTGTTCCAGGGGAGTGGACCCGAGACAATTCCAATCTTGAGATAGTTGGAGGACGCTGCAAGAAACCATCTAAGACCCACAGTAGTGGCCCTGAGCTCCTGAGCACCCAAGGCTGGATGCCCGGCCGCCACTTGCAGCTCCGCCTCGCAAGGTGTGATCAGGGAGCTGAGGCCGAAAAAGGCACCTGGCAGGTGCTGGAGAGCTTTGACCGTGTGAGACGGGGCCAAATGCGGTTAAGATGGAGTCAGTCAAGGCTCACAGCTCGAAGTGAAGCACTGAGAACCAGGCTCTGAAAATATAAGAAGGACGAGTGAAGACTACAGGTCTAAAAGTTCTACAGCCCCGGCGTGTTTCGGAGCCGCAAAGAAGGCCAAATGCTTGGCCCTTTATTGGCAAATAGAAAGCCTCCGCCCTAGCAGATCGCGCAAAGCTAGAGGAGATACTTACCCCCCCCCAAACTGGACCTTTCATGTTCCGCCGTTCATTCAACCAGAAAGACAACTTTGAAGGACTAGCAGGCTGGCAAAGGCATACCGAGCAGAATAATCGCAATGTACACTTAGGAACGAAAACATGTCTTTGAATGCCAGCGGGCGTGCATGCAGGCTGGCAGGCGTGTGGGCCTTAGGGCGTGCAAAGAAAAATGTGTGGTTCACCGACAGTAAGCGCGCGCATCAACAAACATCTGAAAGTAAGACAAATCTCACACCAAACAGGAGCGATACAGAGATCAGCGCCATCATTGCAAACAAAAACCTGTTGGTATAGGCAAACTATGTCACAATTCACCGGCTGAAAATAAGAAATGGATGCCCCGTGAAAGAAACCTTCAGGAGTTCTCAGCCTCGCCTGGCAGAAGTTCTTTGACTTCAAGGCCGCCGGAAAGCAGCTGGCAGCGGCCTTCAGGTTTGGAAGTTGGGAGAGACGGAAGGGTTGGGGCTTGTGGGGGAGGGCGGGGGGAAGGGTTGGGGTTTTGTACTGCCAAGGATCCACTGCAAAAAAAATAGAAGCTAATGGAACATGCTTGCTTTGTATGAACATAGTGGTTTAGGCCCTAAATCGACAAGCTGGCAAAAGTTCGGCATGTCTGTCGAATGCCTCTGGGCCGCGGAAACTATGCAAGCAACTAAGCAATTACACCGTCTGGATTTCCAAATGGTTCGACTCCTCATCTTTACAGAACCCTCACCTGCTGAGTTGGGCAGTGTGTTTTGGGGATCCCCGGGTTGTCTAGCGGAGGGCACCCCCTCACACCCGACTCCCAAACAACCACTTGGGGAAAGCTGATATGCCGAAAAAGTTCGACTTGCGTCCCGGCTGGCAATCATGGAGCCAGAACTTTTGCCGGCATACAGGTCGTTGGTAACGTGCAGCTAGCTGGCCGGCACCGGGGGTTTAGGCATAAAGCTAAATTGCCACATCTCAGCAACGAGGCACGCATACTCAATGCCTCTACCGGCATCACTCAACACATGTCCTAAGAGCGGTTGATGAGATGTGAAATTTGGCCGACGTTCGATATTTTTGCGGTAGTCGTTTGCCAGCAAACCATCCCTGCCGTCCCGACCCTCCTAACCATCTCGACCCTCCCAACTCTGCGGCGTTGCGCATGTCACAAGACTGGACCATGCCAGCCATCCCGACCACCCCAACCGTTCGGAGCATAGCCACCATCCGAACCATCCAGAGCGTCCCAACTGTCCCGCACATCCCAACCGTCCAACCATCCGACCATACCGACCAACCTTGAAGCCACGCTGAACCTTGGACCAAAACTGGAGCCACCCAAAACTAATCCCAAGCCAATCCTAAAACCAACCCTAAACCACCAAAGCCGACCCCTAAACCACCCAAACCAACCCTTCACCAACCCTAAGCCACCACCTTAAACCAGCCCTAAACCACGGTGACCGACTCCTAACAGACCCTGAACCAACCATGAACCAACCCTAAGCATCCCTGAACCAACACCTTAAGTTTAAACCCCAACCAACCTCAGATGCACCCCAAACCCGGCCTAGACGGACCCCAAACCAAGCCTACCTGCCTAAATCCACCCTAAACCAGCCCCAACTCCAAACAGACCCCCAACCCACCCGAAACAAGCCCCAAAACCAACCCTAAACAAACCGGGGGGGAAGAAAAACAACGACCCTAAACGACCCTAAACCACCCTAAATCAACTCGACCCCGACCAGCCCGACCGACCCGACTGTCCGACAATCCCAACCTCGACCGTCCCGACCATCCCTACCGGATGCCCCGACCAATTTCCACCAGCCCAAGTGCTCCGACCATCCCGGCCAGCGCGACCACCACCCCGATCACCTATGATCCCGACCGTCCCGATCCTCCAGACCGGCCCGACTGCCACGACCATTCCGACCCTACCGACCATCAATTTCACACTCAGGTTTTCCGAAATGTGTGCACGTGTTTTCTGGATTTCACGTTCCTGACTCTTGCGAATTTCACGCTATACTGTTTCTTGACTTTTGTTTGTCTGAATTGTGCGTCTCTTTTCTACAAGTCGCTTCGCCCCCATCTTCTACGTCTTGGCAAGCGGCTTTGATCACGTTTCTGCCACATAGGAAGCCAGCTTTCCAAACGCGGACTTCCCACGATCTGCCAAGGAACCATCCCACAAGATGTGGCACACGTTCGGCTTCTGGCCCATTTCAAGGATGATGAAGCCGTGATGATAACTGCAGGACTCCAGCATCCTGAAGGCAATGAGTATTTGCCACTGGACGCCAAACCCCTGAGACAAGCAAACGTGGTCCAACTGAAATCAACAAAATTGTAGGTGGGAAGCCTGTACAATCCTGCTGTTCAGGGACCTCACTAACTGTATAACTAACCTACAAACAGGGGGGAATGTTATGAGACTCTGTAAGTTCACAGGTTTCTGTACTGCTGACCTTCCAGAGAGGAATAACGGTGACTTGAAAACGGCAAAGATGCAAAGGGAAGGGATGGTGACGTGCGACGCGCTGGCCCTGAGCAACACGTCCACTAACTCATGGCTGTGGCTCAAAATTAAACAGGAGGAGCAAACCGCAGGTTTTGGTCCATGTTTCCACTTACCGATCGGGCAACCCATTTTGGAATTCCGGTTTTTTGAGCGGCCTCATGGAGCGGGGAGGCGGGGAGGCGGGGGCGGGCTGTGCCTGCCGTGACACAGCTGTTCTCAATTCGTCCGGCAGGCTTGCCCAGAGCAACACTTGGAAATGACATCAAGTCGTTGCAATTTGCATGGGCTATACATGGCTATGCAACTGGCTTTTGTGGCTTTTTGAGAAATTTGCAATTGACGAAACACCGCTGGCCTAGTCCTTCCACGGTTGAGGGCTACAAAGTCATCAGCCTCACCAGCCACCCACAATGAAAACACAAAACATGGATATATGTTCTTAGCATCCTTAGCCTGACTATGGATTGATCAACGCTATGCCAGTTGTGACTTTGACAGCCCGTGGAAGTGTACAAATCATGCGCCGAGCTATCTGCTACTTGCCGAGTGGTGGATCACAGCTTAAACAAGTAGGACTTCTTATTTGGTGAAGACACATCAGGGATGCAGCAACAAACGGGCCAAATTTGGCACCGTCAAGGCTAAGAAATAATTACACCTGCAAAGCTTGACACATCGCGCTCCCACCAACAGCACAGAGGGGCAGGAAAGATTGGCGAAGTTGGGATCGCATGTTCTGGTGATGCTATTCAGCATCGATCAAAATAGCAGGGCTCCACACCTAAGGCCCGAGAGCCATTCGATTGGAGGATCAATTGACAGCATCTAGGTCAATACAGCAGCTCATATGTCATTGCGGGGGTCCGCTCATGTTAATCCACTCGATGCTCAGAGTTGACTCAAACACATGGACAGGTTCAAACAATTCGTCAGAATGACACCCTCTGAGCTGGTTTGGCACCGTTTTAGCGGCACCATGTGTTTTTTTTGTTGATCGGTTCCTGTTCAGCGGGGCAGTGGCATTTCATAATTGGAAAGCTGATGGCTACAGTGTGCCGACAAAATACGAACCCCCTTACAAATGATCAAGCTTTGATCCCAACACAGAGATGGCCTCCCACCAATGCAAGTCATCCGTGACGCTCGAGAACGGTGAAGACTTGGATTGATTGATACCCAAAAAACAGTCAAATTGGCGGGTTTTCCCTTTGTTGGTTTTCCTTTATGATACACCTTTTGGTGAGCAAACTTTTGGGTTGCCCCTCAAAAACACAACTCAGCAAACGAGGTTCCGCATTTGTGGCAAGGCTCGGGAGCAGCGCTTCCAGCTCGTGGCTGCCTCGTGGCTGTGAACCCGGTCGCGACCGGGGCGGGCGTGGGCCGAGGGGCTGGGCATGGGAGGGTTGCTGGAGAAACCATGTCACACTACGACAGGGGCAACACCTCACGGATCCCGTTGGGTGTATTGAGTGTGTTGTTTTTGTGAGGGGACCAAAATTTCACCTTGGCTTCAAAGGAAACCAGAAGTTTTTTTAATTCCAACTTTGAGCAGTCCCCCATCTTGGCACATCCATTGGATGCAGGCCGAGTCGCTGCAGTCTTTGAGGAAGGGCACGGATCGCAGCTTGGCCGTTTGGTCCGTGTAGGCCTCCCCCTGGCGAACTGATGGGTTACATGTCACGTGCTGATTCACTCGATGGCCAATTCACCCAACAAGCCAACGAATCTCAGAAGCCTTTCTCCTTTTAAGCGCTTTGACTCCTTGTGTAGATTGAACAATAGAACTGCTTGGCCTTGGGGACGAGACTCATTTGCTAACGCATCGCTTTCAGGCAAATACCCCTATATTTCGGATGGACCAAAGAAACAGCTCGTGAGGAACCAACCGATCCACGTGCTCTGAATTCTGTCTGGACTGTAAATGAAAGCACCAATTTGACAAACAGCCGAAAGGCACAGCCCTTGAAGAGCATGAACACAAGATAGTCCTGCATGCCCTTTTAAAGCTTTCCTTGTAGATTCATATGACAGTGCCTTCTCCTTTTGCTGGTTGGGCTGACAATGTGCTTTCCCTGGGTAAAGGGTGACCCAGGGCGTCCAAGTAGAAAACTTTGAGAGCTAGAGCAAGTAGAAAAGTCCAGCTGCAGTTCAAGCGGTCAATGGCTGCAAGCCAATAGTAACCGGTGCATGAAAGGGTCACGACGCCAAAAAAGATGGTGTACCTGAAATGATGTCCAAAGCACAATGATGTGGGTATGCATTTGAACCTGGGTCCCAGCCGAGACACATTGACTGCGCATTCCTGCATTTGAATGCTGTGATTGTGATGCATGCAAAGTAGCAAGTCTGAGTCACACAATGGGGCAGGCACACGGGCCAAGCATGGAAGGCCTCCTATCTTAGCCAAGCCAAACACAAAGTGCGGGCACTTTTACCTGCTCCGTGGCCTGTTCCCAATGTGCACAGTACCTGGCCCTACTTTCCACACATCGTACAAGAAAACTGTGCATGGGCCACAAGCGCAGCAGACAGTCCTACCCTATAGCAAACCGCATTGGCTGTATAGGAGTCCCGTAGGCTATTCATGTCCAACATGACAACGTGTTGCTCTCCGAAGCCAAAGTCAAACACTCAAAAGCCAAAGGTCGGTCATCAAGCCCCGTGATTGGCCCAAATGCAGGAATTATTCCCTGACGAGCGGGGATCATGACGCATGTCTACGCGCGTCGCAGGGGTTGTGCAATCCGCAAACCCAAGGCCGAGGCCTTTTCGAGCGCCATCGACCGGCCTCGCGCATGACCTCCCGATAGTGGCCAGACTCCAGGCGCAGCAGAAGGGACTTCTCCTACGCTCGCATTGCTTCAAGCTCGGAAAAGCGGGGGATCAACCTCCCAGTCCAGGAGGGATCACAGCCTACGCAGAGCCTCACAACTAATTAATTGGAGGGCTCACTGAAGATTCTAGCGTACCAAGGATGCCAGCATTCTCAACGCATCTTGTTGAGGCGCAAGCTACTGTACACCTTCATGCTGTGGCTGTTCGTCCTGTCAGACCTACCCCCAAGCTTTGAATCTGCGCATTGTACATAACAAGATCATCGTGCTCCCACAGATAGAGGGTTCAAAGCTCAAGACTCCAACATGCATGAAAGGCCCCTCCACCGGAAGCTTTGTGATTATCTTGGTGATTGTGATTCGCGCTCCTCCCATGACGTGCTTGAGCACGTGTCGCCATACGTTTTCTATGCTGAGGAATATTGAAGGAAATACCCAAGAAACGGTGTCAAACATGGCAAACCCAGCATCGTTCGACAGGCCCGCACACATACAGTACCGATTACCAAGACGACAACCACTTTGCTAGCATCCTTTCACACGCGCGCCGCACACACACACACACATGCCAGGTACCTTACTAAACAAGCAATCAGTACAACAACTTGCTAAACAGCAATCGAAACCTTCGCAGTGAAGTATAACGACTGCTTCTCGAAATCCTGAGCCACTGGCCTGTGCCACGGCGGTTGTGCAGCGCACTGGCCTCACACCATGTCGGCTACTTTGAAAGGTCTAGCCACTGTTGACACGACACAACACTACTCTACAGTAAGTGGCGTACGTGCCCGCAGCTCGGCTGTAGTTCTGCGCTTGTTCCAGAAAGTGGCCAAAGGAGGTCTGCAATGTTGGCAACGCTTCCTTTGCTACATAAAGCATCGGGTTTGTATTAAAAACATGACTTGATCTTTGCTACAGAAACGCAACAAACACATAGCACCCCAAAAATGACTCACTCAGGCGCCCGGCAGACCGGCACGGTCCCAGCCATCACCAAAAGAGCGGCCGTCAAAGTAGCTGGACACGAAACAGCGACGATATCCTGGAAGCGCCAAACAGAAGCCGAGGGGCGAAGACAAGCCATGTGAAATGGAGGTCGAATCACAGGTCGACTGGTTCCAGGCAGCCCATACTCCCAAAACCTCCTGGCCAATCTGGCCAACGGCTCTTTGAGCAAGGCCCACTGGAGGCGATCTGAAAAAACACATTTCTGGAAAGCCGCACAGCCCAAATGGGGCGGCTCGCCATTTTTTGAGGGTACATCCCCCCAAAAAAAGGAAATAACGGACAAGGCTTTAAGCCATCAACAACGGGGGGCCCTCACGAAACAAGACGAGCCACCCACAAGACGATCCTGCGCCCCGGCCTGCTTTTTCCACAGCTCGGTCGATGGCCACAGACCCGCACAGCACCACGTAGAGGTGGCCCAACAAATCGCCGTCGCGGTAGATGATCCCCTCACGAGAAACAGATGCCCTATAGGTGACTTTTTGTTCAGACCAAAATGGAAATCAAAATGCTGACGTTTTCCTTTTGGCTTCCCTTTAAAGCCGCAACAAAGGGGGTACTCTGAAACAACACACACATACACACCTTTGTTGACGCTCTGCCATCCCAAGTCGAGATGTGAGACTAGCTGAGCCCAAGACTGGGGCTGATGCCTGTGCCTAGAAACATGCCAAATCTGGCTTGCAATCAGTTGTGAATGGAGCAAATCCAGTGCGCATTGCAAAAGTACTTTCAAGATTGCTTGCATATCCTGATCCGAAGCCAACACCAGCCGCAAACGACCAGCGCCCAGGAAGGGGATAGACAGGCATGCTGCATTCATAAGTTCCTGCTTCTGCTCCAAACATATGGCAAAGGAACCAAAGGGCAAGGGCCGTCACAGGATGTGGGGAAGGGTGCAAGTTGGCCCTAGTTTTCTCTGCCAGACCATGTGCTGACTATTCATACATTCCAGAGGGCTATTTGCTAATAATACCAACCTCAACAGGCCTTCATGGGCTGACTATTTGCGCAAGCAACATTCGGGATTGTGCTGCTGGCCCTCCCGGTCAAGCACAGTGCTGGCCCAAACCAAGCTGAGGGTATGATCGAAAACGGGTCAGACTTGCGAATTCGCCAAGGGACGCCAGCCTCCACCTCCACTAACTGGGCCTTGCTGACCAGCGCAATCGTCTGCTCCTGCGTGAGCCTGGCGCTCAGCTACATTCCTTCGGCGTGCGACCCACATCACCAGGAGACACACCACGGGACAGCCAAACATCACTGGGGTCAAACATGCACATCCTGCTCCTCGCACGAGGCTGGACTATCTTGCAGTCTGGCGACCCATGTTTTTTGTTTATTTTTTTTAATCCAGCGTGCTATTTCAAATCTCAAGGAAAAAACGGGGGTGCCCGATCCGAAATGGGGGAATCCGTTCTCCGATTCCACACCCAGAGCCCAATCGCCGTGCTCGCCTCTTGAAGAAGTGCAGGTTTGCGAGAATCTCCGCGAGCCGCTCCGACCCTGCGCCTCGAGACATTCGCCGTGGACATCCACGGCACGTGTGCACGGAATGTGCCATTTATGGCAGTCAATCCTGAACGAGAAACAGGAACTAGAGTAGGAATTCAGGGTGGCAAACCTTCTCAAGCTGCCAATTACCATTGCACGGGCGGCAGCAATCAGCACTGTCAGATAATAGCAACGTGAGATGGACCATGCGCGATAGTCAATGTGCAAATGAATATGCGTGCACAGAAAAATGGAAGCCTGAATGTGAAGTTCAAGGTATCAGAAGAACATGGGCTTACTCCAAAATATGTAATTACGTCAAATGAAGGAGCACCACATTCATGGTGTGTCTTGTCCACACAACTCGGAGCTCAGCGCAGAACCCCCCAAGGCAAGCATGCGCCAAACAGCAAGATGTGATTGCTACCTGGCCGCAAGCACATGCCAACACGGTCGCAAAAAAAAGAGAAACATCCATGCAAGATGCCAACGCCATGGTTTGACGAGGCCCAAAGCCAAACTCAAGAGTTCAAGAGAAAGCAAATCAGACCGTGGCAAGCAACTGCTTTTCCCGGCAAGTGAGGCCAATCCAAAGCCAACCCCCGTCCACCCAGAGCGAATGTGGCGCCTCGACTGCCCTCACCCAAGAGCCGCTGCAGCTCGAAGAGCTGCGCGGCCCCCAGCGCCGATGCCTATCAAACAAAGGCGATGATGCCCACCACTGTTGGGCATGGGTCAAAATTCAACCACCAGGGCACCACAGGTTTAGTCCATGTTTCCATTTACAAGGGTTCCATTTTTGGGTACCTTTTTTTGACCCACAGCCAGTTGAACATGCTTGAAATCATCACGTCTCAAGCTGCATGTGTTGGTCTTCTTGGATGCGCTCCTCAGGCCTGTTCCTCCGACTTCTGGATTCAGGTGAGTGGCTGCTCACAGGCTGGTCATTGTATCTTAATAGCACAAGCAGGAGTGGGATGTGAGAGGCTGAAACCTTGAACAACAACAAACAACACCCCCCCTGCCCCAGAGTGTGAGCTATGTCAACGCAAAACCATGAAAACACCCCGAATCAATCGGATCCCTCGCCTCTTTGAAGCTGATCGCCATCTCACCTCGTGCGGTGCCGTGGTGGGCCAAACCTCTACAAGGATTTCCGAGTTGGCCGTAAATGAAGCACGAGGAGGCCCCATGGATTCTTGGCAACCAAAGAAGAACTTGGAGGAATCAGTACTACTACAACATCGCAGGAGGGCTCTCATGTTGCTTGAGATTCGGCACAGGGTAAGCAAGCGTCCTGTTCAGCTACGGCCAACCCATTTGTGTGGTGTGTGTGTGTGTGCTGATGTCTGCTGATGTTCGAGATGCTGTGCTGATGACCTGATGATGAAGCCACTGTTTGCCTATGTAGCTCTAGCAATTCTACCTGTGTATAGCTCTGGCCGACCTTCATCCTTGCCACACGGGACCTGATCCCCAAAAACGGCCTGGATCATAGAGCTTCACACATGAGGCCAATTATTCAGCATGACAAAACCAGAGACTATGAATAATACGCTGCTTTGTTCAAAGCATCGACGGTATCCATTTAACCTTCGCGCCTGCCCTCCGCGTGGATGGCGAAAAGGCAGGTGAGTCGCCGCCTTGGCCAGGAAGCACAGGATCTCTCCAGAAATTCATGCAAGGCTCCAACGCGGTTTGCTTGACCAAATTGGAGCTATCCAACTCTATCCTGGTCTGCTATTCTAGGCATTCTGCAAACACATGATGCAATATGGTGCCCCCAAAAACCAACTCTCCCCAGCAACCTCAATAAACGAGTCGGTGTGCAATGTCAAGTCTTGGCAAAGTGTGCCCCCGCGTACTAAATGCGCAGGCATGGCATAATTGCCTCCACAGGCATCAGCATCACGAACTTATGTTGGGTGATTGAAGGGCATGAATCGTTACAAGCTCGTCACTGCAATTAAGTGAAGTGTGAATCGTGAGCATCCTTCAGGATTCAGCCCGGAAAAGGTATGGCGAGCGCCAAGCTCTGTGTCTCACAAAATGGGGATGGTGAATACTCCACTTCCTCCGTTCCACAGGTCCAAAAGGAAACATGCCATGGGCCTTTCGTTTGGAGAGCACATCATCCCCAAGCACCGCCCCCCTGGCCCTGTCGCACGGAGTCTGAGCACCAAAGCCCAGCTCATGGCGGATTTGCTCGAGGAGCTCCCGGGCCTTTTGGAGGCTCCTGATGTCCACCGGAGTGCCTCCGGATCCGATTGGATGCTCAAAATAAGAATCGGTCCCCACAATGGTTGGCCTCTGTTGGGTTTCCCTGTGAGTAACAACCAAAAGGTGGGCTCGCCCTCAAACACTTTGCCGCACAACGTCGCCCACAGCCCCTTGAGTCTGAGGGGACCCAGCCAAGTTAGTATCGCTTATCATGCACGCCGAGAGGCCCGTAAATATGATAACTAATGGCTGTGACAGTGCACGACATGTTTATGTCCAGAAAAAGGCTGGTGTCAATCCCCATTCGCAAATACCTGTGACCCCTTCATGCCCCTTACGCAACACATGTCATGGACTAGCGTTATGAAGCCACTTGCTCACATGCGAAGGGGCACGCTCATGCAAAACCACTGAATACAAAGGAACGCAAGAGGAACAAAGCTGGGGCTATTCGCTTCCCTATTTGCGCGTCCACAGCCAGGCTGCAGGGCTTTACACCAGTGCCAAAAGCGGGACCAAATTTGGACCCTCGTCTTGTTCGTTCATCACTTTGGCTGCCAATGAGTTCTGGCTCCAAAGCAAACAGGATACACTTCCGTCGGGAAACATCCGATTCAGTGCGGCAAATGATAACAACAAAGTTCTGAGTGGGTCATGTCCCGGGACTTCGAATTATGTAAAATATTATGTAGCATCATAACATGAATGAGTCAATGAATGTTCATGCAACAAACAACTGGCACAAACGCGGACCTGAAGTACACAAGGTATCCAGCGCGGGTCGATGAATTGGCAAAAACACCTAAGATTTGACAGTCTTCATCTGTCAAAACTGGTAGTCTGCTTCCCCTGTCCTTACCCCTTGCTGCCTGCAAGATGGGTCTGCTGC